GTCAAGGACATCGTACATGAAGAAAGCAAGAGGTCATTAAAAAGACAGGAAAGAAAGAAAAGAAGAAAATGAATGTCAGAAGAGACTCTGAAACTTGCTCTTGCATGTATAGTAGCTAAAGCAAAAAGAAGAAATGATGAACTAAAAGAGCTGAACAGAAAATTTCAAAGGGCAACTCGAGAAGACAAAGTAAAGTATATTAATGAAATGTGCAAAGGCTTGAAGTTAGGAAACCAAAAGGGAAGAACACTGTCAATATTTCTCAAGCTGAAAGAACTGAAGAAAAATTCAAGCGTGAAGTTGCAATATTGAAGAATTCTATGGGCAAAATATTGAACGACACAGGAAGCATCAAAAAAAAGATGGAAAGAATACGTAGTCACTGCAGCCCTGGTGGCACAGTGGTTAAGAGCTTTGCTAACCAAAAGGTCAGCAGTTCAAATCCACCAGCCACTCCTTGGAAACCCTATGGGGCAGTTCTACTCTGTCCTATAGGGTCACTATGAGTCGGAATCAACTTGACGGCAACAGGTTTGGTTTTGGTTTTGTACCAAAAAGATTTGGTCAATGTTAAAACATTTCAGGACGTAGCATATGATCAAGAACTGATGGTACTGAAGGAAAAAGTCCAAGCTGCACTGAAGGCGTTGGCAAAAAACAAGGTTCTAGGAATTGATGGAATATCAATTGAAATATTTCAACAAACGGATGCAACGTTGGAAATGCTCACTAGTCTATGCCAAAAAATTTGGAAGACAGCTACCTGGCCAACCAACTGGAAGAGATCCATATTTATGCCTATTGCAAAGAAAGGTGATCCAATCGAATGCGGAAATTATCAAACAATATCATTAATACCATACACAAGTAAAATTTTGCTGAAGATAATTCAAAAATAGTTACACCAGTACATCAACAGGAAACTGCCAAAATTCAAGCCCCGTTCAGAAGAGGACATTGACTGAGGGATATCATTACTGATGTCAGATGGATCTTGGTTGAAAGCAGAGAATACCAGAAAGATGTTTACCTGTGTCATTGACTGTGCAAAGGCATTTGACTGTGTGGATCATAACAATTGATGGATAAAATTTTGAAGAAATGGAATTCCAGAACACTTAATTGTATTCATGCGGAATCTATACACAAACCAAGAGGCAGTCATTTGAACAGAATAAGGGGATACTGTGTGGTTTAAAATCAGGAAAGATGTGTGTCAGGATTGTGTTCTTTCACCATATTTGTATTAACAACTGTTATTATAATTGGTGAAATGTTTTTTTTCGGAAGTCCACTATCTTTATCACTAAATCATAGATGCAATGGGGTCATGGAGGCATGGTAGTTATACTGACTTAGTGGTGATTCTCTAACTCAGTTTTTTCCTAACTTTCCTGGACATAAGAGTCTTCTGGGATGTATAATAAAAGCACAGATTTCCAGACCTCCCCTCTAGAAATTCTGATTCCTTAGGTCTGGAAAGAAGTCTAGGGAATCCATAGCAGTGGTTTTCAAATTTAGCTTGTATCAGAATTACCTGGAGGGCTTGTGAAGAACACTGATGGCTAGATCTGTGTGTGTCTGATTTCATATATTTGGAGTGGGGTCCGAGATTTGCATTTCTAACAAGCTCGCAGGTGATTCTGATGTTGCTGCTCTGGGGGTCACACTTTGAGAACCACTGATGCACAGAAACGAGCCCTGGTGGTTCAGTGGTTAAAGTGATCGACTGCTAACTGAAAGATTGGCAGTTTGAAACCACAAGCAGCTCTGCGAGAGAAAGATGTGGTAGTCTTTTTCCATGGAGATTTACAGCCTTGGAAACCCTATGGGGTTGCTGTGAGTCGGAATTGACTTGCCGGCAGTGGGTTTGGGTTTTGATCTGCAGGAGCCCCTGGGTAGTGCAAATGGTAACTACTCACCTGCTAACCAAAAGGTTGGAGGTTCAAGTCCACCCAGACGTGACTTGGAAGAAAGGCCTGGTGACCTACTTCTAAAAAATCAACCATTGAAAACCCTATGGAGCACAGTTCAACTCTGACATGCATGGGGTCGCCAGGAGTAGGAATTGACTTGAAGGCAAATGATGGTAGTAGACCTATAAGATCTGTGCTATTATCAACTGTCTCAGGTGATTTTATGAACACGCAAATTGAGGAAATGCAGCTTTAGTTCACCTGACAGTGGGAGGGAGTGTGCTGTATGGTATTTTTTTATACTAAACACTGCTCTCTGGCCATGGCATCAATCCCACTTTACCAGGGGTGACTTCTTCAACCCACACTGACTCAACAAACAGAGTATGTTGTGATGCGCTTTGTATTCATTTACTAGAGCTGCTGTAACAAACAAAAAAAGCCCTGGTGGCACAGTGGTTAATTGCTTGGCTGCTAACCGAAAGGTTGGTGGTTCGAACCCACCAGCCACACTGTGGGAGAAAGATGTGGCAGTCTGCTTCTGTAAAGATTTCAGCCTTGGAAACTCCATGAGGCGGTTCTGTAGGGTCACTAATGAATCAGAATCGGCTCAATGACAACAAGTTTTGGCTGTAACAAAATACCACAAAGTGGGTGGCTTTAAAGAACAGAAATTTATTGTCTCACATTCCTCAAGGCTAGTAGTCCGAATTCAGGCTGGTGTGGCAGGGCCATGCTCTATCCAAAGCATCTGGGGGAAGATCCTTTCTTCTTGTCTGTGTCAGCTTCCGGTAGCTCCAAGTGTTCCTTGGTGTGTAGATACATCATCATATGACATTCTTCCTTTGTGTCTGCTAACATCTTCAAAGACCCTATTTCCAAACAAGTTCACGTTCACAGGAACCAGGAGTTAGGACTTCGACATACCTTTTTGGGGAACACAATTCAACTCATAACGTTTGATTCAAACATGCTCTTCTTGGCAGGGAGACCAAGATGAAGAAAGACATCAGCTTCTGCCGAGGATGCCAGCGCCAATCGTGTGCAGAACCAGTACACTTCTTCCTAGTTCTTCCCTTTGGCTTTTGGGGCACAGGCTTGAATACTGCTGATGTGGTTGCAAACTCTTTGTGAGTATGTGTTTGCAGCTTTAGAGAAAACTAACACGATTAAGGCTGCATTTAGATGCTGAGGGACGGTTCCTGTAGATGCTGAGGATTAGCGGTAACAGCTGTTATCCTCCCCATTAGAGGAGAAACTGAAGGGAGAAGAAAAGACTTTTGTTTAAAGGATGTGTCTTCACAACCCTGAGGGGGAAAACTGTTCCCTCAAGCCTGAAGGAAAGTGTGTTCCTAGGTAAGCTGGCGCTTCTCCGGGTTAAGGCAGATGAGGCACTGGTGGGAAAGAAGGATCGGAGGTAGGAGGGGAGGATGGGATTTGTGGTGTGGCCGCGGCACTCACTCCCTTCATAGGCATCTGTGTTTCACCTGCCTTTGGAGAGAGGAGATCACCCTCTACCATCAACAAGGGGTTGAGGGGCATGTTCTATGTGGTCCCTGAAAGAAAAAGGTAAGGAGCCCCTGGGGCTTCTCCCCTGAGAATATGCTTTTACAGTTCATTTCTTAATTTGTCTAGGAAGCTGTAGCAGTGATCCCCTGGGGTGTGGAGGTTTTTGGCTTTTAGTACCTCCTGGAAAACAGACCTAGAGGAGAAAGGTTTTGTCTGAAGGGCTCGTAAGACAAGTCTAAGAGATTTGAGTTATAGATAGTATTCCTGTCTCCTCATGTCTCGTAGTGTGTGGATTTAGGATGGGCATGGATGGCACTTGAGTGTTGGTTGGATAGATTATCTTCTCTTTCTATAGCTAGTTTTCACTATATTTTTAGGATTTTATTTTTGACTTTTAAAAACAACTTATTAAAGAGGAGGGCTGTTGCCTTGCATTGCTCCTTGCATCAAAATATTAGCCAAGCTTTAAAAATGCCTTTGCACAGGATTGTTAAAAAAACAACAGAAAACATAGGCCTATAATAATATTTCTCCAGAAAGCTTTTCATCTGCCTTATTTTATATTTCTTTCTTTATATTCATCTGTAGAGCTTTTCCAGAGTCAAATTCTAATTTTTTTTGGTTGGACAAAGAAAAAAATAGTTGCCGTTGAGTTGATTCTGACTTATGGCGACCCCATGTGTTTCAGAGTAGAACTACTCCATAATGTTGTCAAGGCTGTGACCTTTTGGAAGTAGATCACCAGGCCTTTCTTAAAGCACCTCTGGGGGATTTGAACTGCCAACCTTTCGGTTAGTAGTGGAGCTCTTTTCTGTTTGCACCACCCAGGGATGTGGTAAACAAAAACGAAATTTACTCTATAAATGTTATTTTATCCAATCATTTTATTCCATTCCTCAGCCAATTTTTTTTTTTTTTATGAGTACATTTAATAAGGTATGGAATGGGTTGGCTGGAGTGTAACTTTCTCTGCTCATCTTCTCTGCTAAAAAGTAGTGAAATAACTAAAAACAGCCAGCAGGAGAAAGGATAAGGAGCTATCAAAGCTGTGCAAACTTAATAATCTCCTCTAAATAATTGACAGTTGGCAGAAGTTCAGTAGCATTTAGCTCTATAATTTGCAACTGTAGAGAGAAGACACTAATCCAAACCACCATATGCCAAGCTGCCGGACCATATTGGAATATTGGCCGTGTACTTGAGCAATAATGCTTATGCTCTCTTGCTTGGATTGACAGACTGCTTGTAAGGAGTTTACATTAGAATACAAATGTATTTCTGGTCTTATTTCTTTGACTTAATAATTAAAACCCATCTTTAAAAAGAAGCAATCTGGTCTTACAAGAAAATTGCAAGAAGAGAGGTTTTGTTTTTTTTTTTTTTTTAAAGTTCTTAGAAATCAAACACTCCTGATAGCCTGGTTTGTCTTTTTGACCTTGACATTGGGCACTTAGAATCTGGGGAGATAGCACTAAAAGTATCTCAGGTGCAAAGGCTGTGTCACATCCAAGAAACTTCAAACTGTTTTCTGAAGTAAGTAGCCCCTGGATTGAAGCTGTTGTTCTCGATACAGGAAAGGACAGAATGACGATCTCAGCTGCCCTCCCAGGCTGGGCTTGTACCGCCCTCTGCTTGGCCTCCTGCTCGGCTGCCTTTTCTCATGGCGCAAGCTCGGCAGCCTGTGTGGACATGCAGCCCAAACACATTCAAGTCCGGCCTCAGAACCCCGGAACCCACCACATTATCATCCACACCAGCAACAATTCCTACTCACCAGGTGACAAGGTTCCAGGTACATACCAGTTTACCATTTGTCGTAGACTCCAAGTCCTGATGACCACATGTGTGTCATAGTGGAACTGTGCTCCGTAGGGTTTTCAATGGCTGGTTTTTGGGAAGCCTTTCTTCTGAGGTGCCTCTGGGTAAACTCAAACTCAAACCTCCAACCTTTTGGTTAGTAGCTGAGAACATTATCCATTTGTGCCACCCAGGGACTCCTCCAGGTACACACAGGAGAAGATTTGAGAGACTGCAAAGAGCCCCAGAGCCCCAGGGGCAGATTCCACATTGTGTTTTTCCCAGGCAGGAGTTTCCCAGACTAAACTTTGGCTTAATTCTAAGGAGCAATTATTTAGCCAAAAATAAGCATGAAGTATTTGACATGTGAAAAACACATGATAACTAGTCTCTATATAGATATTAATCTTTTCAAGAGAAGAGCAGACAAGTGGCATTATTACAAAAATTATTTTATCGTTATCATAAGACATACAGTTAATCTGAACAACCTTCGTGTATCATATGTGTACGTGAAATATATTATTTTTTCTTATTGTTTAAAATTAATTTCTGGATGCGAAGAGTGTTTTCCACCGTTTAAGTTTCTGCAAAAGCAGAGAAAGAACTTGGGTGCAAATATTTTATTTGGTAGATGATCCCCGGAAGCACAAACGAGAAAGAAGGAAAGGTGGACAGGGAGGAGAGAGACGCTAATTAAAGGTGTGAAATTGAACAGGTCGCTGCTGTGGGCAACTGGAGCTCAATTCCATGGGCAAGCCGTGTGAAACACACCTTGGAGTCCTCCCTCTGGAGGATGGAGAGACTGGGAAATTTATTGGTTGAGGAGTGCTTTCCTGCCAGGGGCGTTTCCACTCCCAACTCCCCACCTAACTTCAGAGTTCTGCCTGCTTACCTTGGAGCAAGCTCCTGAGGTGCGGGCTAGGAAGGCAGCGAAGACAGCTGCAGGTGCTTCAGGTGAAATTTTAATGTAGAGACAAAACTGCCTATGTAGCCTCAGGTGAATGCAAATGGGCCGAGGGAATGTGGGACAGATATTAGCAAACTGTTTGCTCTACTCCCTTTAGAGTTGTGCTAATTCTTTTGATGGGCACAACAGGTAGTAAACAAAAAATGAAGTTGACTCTATAAGTTATTTTATCCAATCATTTTATTCTATTGATGATAAGTGTGGGGAAAAAGATTGTGTGGGTAGTATATGGAACTGACAGCAAAGTACTTGTCGAACTGAAATGAAGGCTATTCTAACAGTTTCCCAAGCTTCGCCACATCGTGACGCGGAGAGAAAATCTGTAGATCGCACACTGGGGTACATGCAAGTGGCTGCTCAATGATAGAAGCAACTTCTTGGGTGGCTCCTTCCACCCCAGATACACCCCTCACCCCGAGTATGGGGATCAGTATTTTGGCACCCCAGTGACCCACTTCTGGCAGCATCCCAGTGTTCCATGGCTAGGGGGATGAAAACACTACATTAGGGAGGAAAATCTGTAAAAATGACCCAAAATATCACAACACCCAAATTCTAATAAAGGGTGACCTGAAGGTGTCCTGAGGGGAACATAATAGAATTGTGACTGTAATTATAAAATTGTAGGTAATAAAAGGCTTGACAGAGCGCCTCACGGATTCAGTGATGGTCAGTTATTACTTTACACTGTGATTACATCGTTTTTGTTTTTGCTGGGATCCCACGCTAATTGCTGAGCTCCCTGAAGGTAAGGACTTTGTTACCTTGTTCGTAGATGTATATTCAATGCCTAGCACAGTGCCTGGTGTTAAATAATAAATATTTGTTCGAATGTTTATTAATAAACATTCAAATGTGTGGAAAATAAAAATAACCACAGAGACTAAGCTCTATTCAACAAGTCCATAGAAAATAGGACTCTGATTTTAGCCACTCATTTAATTTTCAAAATATTTTTAACAGCTTAAAATATCATTCTAGTTTTAAAATATTTTAACAGTACCAAAAAGTAGAAAATAAGAAGTATAAGTTTTCCTTCCCTTGTTCTGGACACTCAGTTGGATTCCCCAGAGGTAACCATCATTAAGTTTCTCTCACATCTTTCCAGAATTTTTCCATGCACGTAAGTATATATGAGTGTGATATTTTAGATGAATATAACCCTAAATAGACATAAATGAAATCATTCTGTTTCACATCTATATTTTTCACCTAACAGTAATGCTGACATCTTTGTCATATTCATAGTCTATTTTCAATGACAGCTTGTTGTCCAGATGTCACATAATTGATTGAACTAAATTTTTATTGATGAGTATTTACTTTTTCCAATTTTTGGCATTATAAACAATTCTAATGGACATTCTTATACATATACCCTAGCCCACTCTACGAGTCTTTTAGTTGCAAGTATCAGAAAAGCCAATAAACATGAGCTTAACACATAAATACATTTCATTTTCTCACACGAGTCTGGAAGTGGGGTTTCTGGATTTGTGAAGCCATTCAACGATGTCATCAAGATTGTAAGGTTTTTCCAGCTTCCTGCTCGGCCATCATCAGCGAGTTGAGTTGTCATCCCTTTGTTTGTCCTGGCACAGTCTCAGGACAGCTGAGGCCTCACACTGGTATCAACACGGGAATAAAGGGTCAGGGGCAAAAGGATGCAACCTCAGGAGTTACCAGTTCTCCCAGTTGCCCTCATTGGCTAAAACCGGATCACCCTGAAGAAGAATGGAATTACCAACAGTGGTTCTAGTCTAATCACAATTCATCCCCTGGAAATAGGGAGAGGACTGTTGTCCTTAGCTCCCTTCTAGTCAGGCTCCAATTCATAGCGACCCCGTGAACAACTGAACAAAACACGCATCAGACTGTTGTGCCTCACGGGGTTTTCACTGGCTGATTTTCAGAAGTAGATCGCCAGGCCTTTCTTCCTAGTCTTAGTCTGAAAGCTCTGCTGAAACCTGTTGAGTATCATAGCAACACACAAGCCTCCACTGACAGATGGGTGGTGGCTGTGCCTGAAGTGCATTGGCCTGGAATCAAACCCAGGTCTCCTGCATGGAAGGCGAGAATTCTGCCACTGAACCACCACTGCCCCCTAACTTTTCTGAAAACAAGAGATGTTCACCTGCTACATGAACATAAGGTCTGTGTTATTTTAGCAGGGAATAAGTGGAGAGAAGCTGTTAAGTAATGAACTCCAGTGTTTGCTATACTTATTTATGCAGGTATGTCAGTAGGAAAAGTTCTTAGAAGTGAAATTGCTAGGTCAAAGGGTTACTGCACTATTAATGTGGACCATATTGTCAGATTACCCCTCAAAGAGTTGCATAGTTTATAGTTCCAGCATCAGTGAATGAGTGTTTTCATTTTTCCATAGTCCTATCAATACTGATTATAATCATACATTTAATACTTGCTAAATAATAGGTGGAGTCCTGGTGGTGCAGTGGTTAAGAGCTCAGCTGCTAACCAAAAGGTCAGTGGTTCAAATCCACCAGCCGCTCCTTAGAAATCCTATGGGGCAGTTTTACTCTCTCCAATAGGGTCACTATAATATAATAGGTATAAAATAGTGCCTTGTTTTTACTTGCTTTTTAAGTTATGATTGAGTTTACTTGTTTTATTTGTTTGTATCCTTTGATAAGCTGGGGGATTATCTTTTTTATTTATTCACCATAATTTTTTTGTATCTGTTTTTGTTATGTCAGTTTTGTATCTGCTTTTGTTATGTCTGTTTTGTATCTGCTTTTGTATCTTAAAATACTTTTTTGATTTAATGTTACAATGGTAGGGAGGGAGGGGGAGGGGAAATCACTAACCAGATAGTAGACAGGATCAACTTTGGTGAAGGGAAGGACAACACACAATACAGGGGAAGTCAGCACAACTGGACCAAAGCAAAAGCTAATAAGCTTCCAGGACACATCCAAACACTTTGAGGGACAGAGTAGCTGGGGCTGGGCCCTGGGGACCATAGTTTCCGGGGACATCTAGGTCAATTGGCATAACGTAGTTTATAAAGAAAATGTTCTACATCCCACTTTGGTGAGTGGCATCTGGGGTCTTAAAAGCTTTCAAGTGGCCGTCTGGGGTACATCAATTGGTCCCATCCCACTCAGAGCAAAGGAGAATGAGGAAAAACAAGGACCGAAGGAAAATATTAGCCCAAAGGACTAAAAGACCACATGAACCAGAGACTCCACCAGCCTGAGTCTGGAAGAACTAGATGGTGCCTGGCTACCACCAATGACCACCCTGACAGGGAACACAACAGAAAGTCCCAGACAGAGCAGGAGAAAAATGTAGAGCAGAATTCAAATTCATGTAAAAAGACCAGACTTAATGGTCTGACAGAGACTGGAGGCTCCCCAAAAACTATGGCCCCCGGACACATTGTAAACCCAGAACTGAAACCATTCCCTAAGCCCACTCTTCAGACAAAGATTAGACAGGACTATAAAACAAAAAATAATACACGTGAGGAGTGTGCTTCTTATTTCAATAGGATATACGAGACCAAATGGGCAGCTTCTGTCTGGAGGCAGGATGAGAAGGCAGGAAGGGACAGGAACTGGTCGAACGGACACAGGGAACCCAGAGTGGAAAGGGGGAGTGTGCTGTCACATTGTGGGGATTGCAACCAATGTCACATAACAATATGTGTATAAATGTTTGCATGAGAAATTATCTTGAGCTGTAAACTTGCACCTAAAGCACGATTTAAAAAAAAAAAAACTTTTTGTGTTCATCTATGATCAGATTTTTTGTTTTAATTTAGCAAACTTCATTGATCTTTTCCTTTATGGCCTCTGGGTTTTGCTTATGGAGGCATTTCTAACTCCAATATTAGAAAAAAAGAAATAGCCGTTGTTTCTAGTTCTTTGTTATTTCATATTTATGTATCTATGATGCAAGCGGAATTTATTTTTTGGTGTGAAACGGCACTTCAACTTTTTATTTTTCCCTAATCAATTGTTTGCTTTTGGAGGGATGGTCTTAAGCTTTTCTTGTTTTGAAAATAGCTGTATAAAATCACTGAATGGAGCTAAGTCAAGCGTGCTCCCCGTCAACTGACGGTTCCTTGTTTTCTGTTGCAGTGACTGTGAGGAGCAGTCGTGATTTCATGGGATTTCTACTTCAGGCTCGAAGACTATCTAATCAGCAAATAGTTGGCACTTTTGTTTTCATTCCTCCTCATTCCAAACTGATGACTTGTTCTGAAGAGGCTGACGCAGTCACCCACTCTGACAAGTCCCTGAAGAGAAACCTATCATTCGTGTGGAAGGCTCCCACCCAGCCTGTGGGGGACATCAGATTCCTGTAAGGGAGACAGGAAAGTGCTGTTTCTTAGTAACTGTGCCTCTCACTTTGAGAAGAGGGGCTTTCATCTCCCTTCCTTCCTGTCCTCCCTCCTGGGTCACCTTATAGCAAGGACACAGGACACAGTCACTGGGCTGCCCAAACTACTGAGCCTATCTAGAGAGTAACTAAAAAATATTTTTTTGCCTCAACCCCTCTGCTTTGCCACCGTCCATGTCCTTGGAGTACGGTTATTTCCCTTTCTCCCTAGGCACAGATGAATCCTGGCCACCCTTTCCAAGAAATTCTGACTAGAGGACAAAAGAGCTGAAGGAGAAGGGAGGGAGCCAAGAAAGAGAGACAGAGGCAGACAGACAAGTGGACGCTGAGAAACTACTTGTGTCAGACCAGGGAAAGCCACTGAAGTCTCTGTGCCTGGGCTTCTTGTCAACCATATGGCCATAGTAATGAGATAGGGTTGTGAAGGATGAAAGAGCCGGTTTATGCAAAGTGCTCAGAACAGCTCCTGGCAACTGTGACTGCTTCATCAGCATCAGCATTACTCGAAATGAGGCACTTGTTTAGTCATTTTTCTGACACTTGGGTTTACCAAGAAAGAGAATTTTTTCACTTTTAGGAAAGTGTGTATATTCCTCAGTTTTTCCTCTCAAAAAAAAAAAAAAGTTGCCGTGGAACAGATTCTGATTCATGGTGACCCCATGTGTGTCAGAGCAGAACTGTATTCCACAGGGTTTTCAATGCCTGACTTTTTGGAAATACTTCACCAGGACTTTCTTCAGAGGCACCTCTGGATGGATGCAAATCTCCAACCTTTGGGCTAGTAGCCGAGTGCTTTAACTCTGCACCACCCAGGGACTTCTCCTCTCCACGCCCTCATACATGTATCAGGAAGCCTTTGCCTGACAGGGGAGGCCATGCTTCCCCTCCTGGCTTTCACCTCTGCACTGCGAGGAATGGGAAATGTGGCCTCTGTCCCCTCCCCACAGTGTCCCCTGTCCATCCCCTCCTGGTGACCTACCACAGCAGGCACGGCAGCTAGGAGGAAGCACAGTGCCCTGAGGGTGTTTTGGCACTTTGGCATGGCCAGTGCCCACTGAAGCCCAGTTTCTGCCCATGGCTTTGGTTCTTGTCACCTGCAAAGAATGCAGGTTGTTTGCAGTCCTTACATCTATATTAAAAAAAAAGAAAAAGAAAACTGTTGCTGTCGAGTCAATTTCGACTCATGGCGACCCTACTGGACAGAGTAGAACTGCCCCATAGGGTTTCCAAGGAGCAGATGGTGGATTCAAACTGCTGACCTTTTGGTTAGCAGCCAACTCTTAATCACTGAGCCACCAGGGCTTAGCCACTTTTATTTCTCAAAGCATCTCCATTCTTATTTTCTGACTTACATCATAGCTGCTATGCACCACCTATGTAGTGCGGAAGTGATTATCTCCATTTGACAGAGAAGGCGCTATGTCCCTTAATCAGACGCCTCACCCAAAGTCATCCTGTGTGCTTTCGCCTCCCAGAATCCTTTCCCACGGTAACGTGGACTAAGTCTGGAAACCATATGCTGAGGCCTGAAACATGACACCTAACTTGACTAAACTAATGACATTTTTATGACTGAGCTCTGAATAGTTAAAATGCAAAAAAAGATACTTGCCAATAGTCCCTACCTCAGCAAAATTTTTGGGAGGATAAATGAGACAATGTTTGTGAAAGTGAAAAAAGGCATTATGTATTCAAAATATTATTTAAAACATTAATGATTTATCTCTAATTTTCAAAAAATCTACAATTATAATATTAATTAATTATGTAAGTAATTATGTAATTCAATGAACGATATACCAATAATGGCCAATAATAAAATTGAAGATGAAGCCTTTTATTTGAATCTAAACACTTATAGTTCAAGAAGACACCTTTTAGTCAAAATGAGATTTTCAATGATTATATTTATTCTGGAGGGCCATTGATTGTAACTATCCTCTGCTATTCTAATTATTTGTTGCATTTTTGTTTTTAAAAAGAATGAAGTCCCTCTAAGGGGTAGTAAAATAATCTCTCCCTTGTTCTTTTATTCCCTTATTTTGTTCTTCTTTATTTTGTATTCTCTCTTTTCTATTAGGACGGCCTGAGCTGTTATTTAAAGGACACTAAATCCACGAATCCCTCTGCGCTTTCTTTTTCCACAGTTTATCAGTAGTCCAGTCATATTTTGTTTACTGGGCAAGGATTGAATCATCGGTTGTGTCTCAACAGACACACAGCGGAGCCCATTCTGCCGGCCACACGGAGGCCCGCTCACTCACGCCAGCCCCTCAGCAGAGGCCAGGTGATACTGAAGGAACAGCCCCAGGTACGGCTTGCTACTGTATTTGTTAGCCTGGCTGTCATTATTTTTATAGTTACCTATTTTCACTTAAAAGTTACTACTGCTGCTTTCTGCCCCTGCAAAACAAGCAATAAACACCTGCCTGGGCCGACTGCTACAGTTCTTGGGGACGTGATAATGCTGTAGTGAGGGGAGACAGAGCTGGTAGTGGCTTTGTTTGTTGCAGCAAACACTGTCTGGCCCACCCTAACGAATTAAGCTGGGCCCTAGGGTGGAGGGCTAGTGCTGAGTTGCCAAACCAAAAAAAAAGCGCATACCTTTCCCCCACCCCTATTTACCAGGAATCACAATATTTTAGCCATTTTCTCAGTCCCCTGAAGCTATTCAGGGAGCACAGGAAAGAAATGAACCTTTTTTTCTTTTTTTATAAATCTCATCCAGTTTTTATTGGTACTTTCAGGGCTTCTAACCAGTTCGTTCCGGTTTGAACCCGTGCTGAGAATTTGCATTTCCACCCCAGATATACTGAATCAGAATCTAAAGTTTAACAAGATCCCCAGGTGATTCTTATGTATAATAAATTTTGAGAACTTCTACTCTGCTAGTGGTTCTCTGAATTGGTCCCTAGCCAGCAGCATTAGCATTACCTGGGAACTTGTTAGAAATGCAAATTCTCAGCAGAGATTCCAACTGGACGAACTGGTTCAAAGCCCTGGTTACTTTCCATAGTAGATAGATGGTCTGGATTGTAGAACACGATGAGAGGCTGTTTCTATGGGAATGGGCTTTTTCTTGGCTCACCACATGACTTTAGACTTCATTGGCCCATGAACTTCTAAAAACAAACTAACAAGCTAGAGAATGTTTGACCTGCTTCCAAATTCCTGGTGGTAGAGAGCTCATCTTCATTATTTATTTCTAATTAAGTGCTCTGGACAGACGTATGCATGAGGCATCCGGTCACTTAAACAGAAGATCCAAATCCTTCATCCCTTCAAGCCCATTTCCCTTTATTCTTTATTTTTTCTTTATTCTTTGCTAACATATTAAGGCCAGAAAACCAATTTGTTTTTTTTTAAATTTACTTTTGCTTATTTATTTTTTATTGTGGTGAAAATATACACGCCAATTCAACAATTTCTACATGTAAAATTCCGTGACATTAACTACATTCTTCATATTATGCGACCATTATCATAATTCTTTTCCAAGTTATTCCAGCATCGTTTACATAAACTCACAGCCCCCTAAGCAAAAACTCCCCTTTTCTCCCTCCCTCCCACCCTGGTAACCACTAATAATCTTTGCTTTTTTTAAAATATATTTGCTTATATAAGTGCGATCATACAGTATGTGTCCTTTTGCCACTGATTTATTTCACTCAACATGTTTTCAAGGTTCATCTGTGTTGTGGAGTGCATCAGGACTTCATTTCTCTTAATGGCTGAATAGTATTCCATTGTCTATATATACCTTATTTCGTTTCTCTGTTTATCTTTGATGGATATTTCTGTTGTTTGCGAGGATTCGATTCGAATCCCTGCCTCTGCTCAGTCTAGCAGACCCGGGCACAGGAACAAGCCCACCACCTTCCATACTCTACCTTTGTTCAAAACCTTTTGTCTCCTACCCATTTCCCAGCCATCCACCTCCAATCCGTCCACTAAGATACTCCTAACACAGAGTAAAGCTCTCAGAGGTCTGATAGTGTGGCCTGAAGAAGACCTTGCAAACCCAACATTTGTTTAGGAAATCTCATATTCTATTATAAATCATGCAAGTTTTGCATCCTAATCTCAAGCATAACCATGTTTGTTTTTATATGGATATGAGTAAAAGTGAGGTTTCAGGAGGGTATGTCCTATTTAGCTTGCGGCCTCTCTGATGCCTGACCCCGCTGAGAAACTTGTCCCCCAGGGGGCTGCAGGCTCCAGTCTGAGCAACTCTTATGCTCTTATTATGCCACCCACAGTCACAGTTCTTCCCTTCTGCCCACAGCCTGTCTTTCCTGCTCATTCCTCTACACTAACCCTAGTGTTTCACAAAGGAAAAAAGACTGTGTTTGTGTGTGTGTGTGTTGGAAGAGGATGTCATCTAACAAAGTGAGATAAATAGACTTCTTAACTCTAAGAAGTCTTTAGGAAACCCTGGTGGCGTAGTGGTTAAGTGCTATGGCTTCTAACCAAAAGGTTGGCAGTGGAATCCACCAGGCGCTCCTTGGAAACTCTATGGGGCAGTTCTACTCTGTCCTACAGGGTCGCTATGAGTCGGAATCGACTCGATGGCAGCGAGTTTGTTTTTTTTGGTTTTTAAGAAGACTTTAACAAGTAAATGTAAATTATGAATTTTCAAAGCTGGGAAAATAATATATTGTATCCCCCAAACTCATCTCGCAACAGACACTCTGGGACACCTTGGAATCCTACCCACCCCACTAGGCTTGATCTGCTTTTATATCTCCATGGTTAACCTTGTGATATTTCCTCTCACTGAGCTGTTCCTCATGGTGATCTATTTATCTTTCAAGACTGTCCAAATATCTCCTTTGTGAAACTTTTCCCCAACTTCTTGGTAGAAATGTAACTGCTTCTTTCTCTCTGGCATTAGAGCGCTTATCACATGGTAATTTATGTGGTTGGGCGAGTACGTGTCTCTTCTCCTGGATTTTGAGTTCAGGGACAACAATGACAAGTCTGCACCCCTTCTCCACCCCAGCACCTCACAGTGCCCAGTGTGCAGGGGGCGCACAAGCAATGTCTGAATGCACTTAGAGTTCAGACAGTAGTTTAAGCCTGTCTGTATTACGCGGTTTTGTTCTTCACTTTGATCTTTTTAAGTGATGAAGCCATTGGAACAAATTGGTGCCCCCCTGCCCCAAAAAAGAAAAGGTTTAATCCAACCCAGTTGGAGCCCTGGCCAAAGAAACTTCTACCAACCCTGTTTTAGTCAACTTCATTATCGTCATCCTAGTGATAACCATGGTAAACCCTCAGTGAATGTTGCATATGTGCCAAGCACTGTGCTTTATGCCTCTACATCAATGATTTCATTTTACCCTCTCAACACCTCTATGCCGTAGGTATTGTCTTAGTGAGGGTTCTCTACAGAAACAGAACCAGTGAGCTATATAACTGTATCAAATATGTGTATATTTGATATAATTATATATAATATATAATAGTACTGTATTTTATTACATATATGTTTACGTATAGACGGACTTCTGGTGGCGCAGTGGTTAAGAGCTCAGCTGCTAATCAAAAGGTCAGCAGTTCGAATCCACCAGCCACTGCTTGGAAATACTATGGGGCAGTTATACTCTGTCCTGTAGGGTGACTATGAGTCGAAATTGACTCGAAGGCAATGAGTTTGGTTTTTTTAGTTTTGTATATGTAGATACACATCCACACATATATCTACATACAGAAAGAGGGAGAGAGAAAACAAGAGAGAGGTTTACTTCAAGGGATTGGCTCATGCAATTGTGGGAACTGGCAAGTCCAAAATTTGTAGGTCAGGCAGCAGGCTGGAGACTCCTGCAGGCTTGCATCTAAAAACTCATAGATGAGATGATAGAAAGAGTGTAGAGTAAAGCGAGAGGGTGAGTTCTGCCAAAATATCTATTTATAGTCTGAAGGCAGAACACATTCAAAGGAAACTCTCTTTTCAACTGATTGATTGCTTACATTAGATTACATTATTGAAGGCGAGTACATTACATTACATTACGGAACAACAACTAGACTAGTGTTTGGCCAAACCACAGGGAACCGTAGTCTAACCAAGTTGACACATAAAATTAACCATCACAGGTATCATTATCCATCCCATTTTGAAATGAAGAAACTGAGATTCTGAGAGGCCTTGCCCAAGGCTAGGAATTAGCAGAATGAAGATTCAAACCCAGACAATAACCTGACCCCAGATCTTGTGCTTGCTTGCTTGCTGCCCTGTTTGAAGCTCTTTCTAATGCTCTGGGGAGTCACGTTAGTCGGCTACAGATGAGAAATCAGTTGGTAGAGGGTGGTGGACGGTAGCCGTTTTGTCTCTGTCCATAACAAAGGCTCAAGTCATTATCATCACCATAGATATCTTTATTGTTGATAATAAGGCAAGAAAGATTTAAAGGTTCTACAAATCTCTGATTTGTGAGAGTCCACTTTTTTCCTACCTAGAAACAGTTTTTTTTGCAGAATTGAGAGAAAATACAGTGGTCATAATGGTTTCTGTATTCCCTGGTGGGTAGTTATTAAAAATGTGCAAGGTGAGAAGGGCTGGCAACTCACTCTTTAAACAGAGTAGAAAATGGGTGCTTCACTGCTTGGTCAGGGGCTTATGTTACTGGACAGATCATCTTTATGTTGACAGTTTTGAGTGGCTTACATTTAACGGTCTGTCCTCAAGGCACATTAAAGTCTCTAGCATTTACCCTGTTATTGTGACCATTTGTGCCAATCAATACAATGAACATGCTCTTCCTCTCCCTGTTGTGTCTTTGGGCCTCTGCTTAGCTCCCAGTGCCCCCAGCACTCTTCCGCAGCAGCACACAGATGTCACTGCTGTTGGTCTAACTGGACATACAGAAGAAGACCACCCGGATCCTGTTCCTGCCAGTACTGGGGTGACAGAGTTTCCCAAGGGTACAGAGACTCTGCCCCAGCCATCTTCACACACAGCTATTGCAGGCAGCAATGGCCAGCAACCCAGTGGGGATAGCAATCCAACCCTAGAACCATCCCGGGATGTCCGAGCACTGGAGAGGCTGGTCGCCCTCAGGAGGTTCCCCTCACAGGACTTTGCATCCAGCCCTGGCACCCACCACAGGTAATAGGGAAGTGGGCGGGCCATTTAGTACAGGGGATGGGACCAGGCCAAACACTGAGGCACTGAGCAAATGTAAACTTCCTGGAGTCTAACAGAAAAACATCTCTATCACATTCTTTCTTAAGTGCACAAGAAACCTTGACTATGGAGGGGGTATTGATCAGAAAGGTCTGGATTTAGTAATTACACAGAGAAACTGGGCTTTCTTGGCTAAGGCAAGGTCTCTGAGATGCTGTTATAAATAAAAGCATTTGGCGAGTGCTTTGCAGCCATCCTGCTGTCACTCCCAACTCCACCGCCACCTCTGCCCCAAATCCAAACTCAGAAGTCTTTCTAAGCAAATCTGATTTTACAGGATACTCACAGTGGTAGAGGGCAGTGGTGGTTCAGTGATGGAATCCTCTCCTATGCAGGAGACCCAGGTTCCACGGCCAATGCACCTCATGCAAAGAGCCCTGGTGGCACAATGGTTAAGCTCTTGGCTGCTAACCAAAAGGTCAGAGGTTTGAACCCACCAGAGGGTCTGCAGGAGAAAAGACCTGGCGATTTGTTCCTGTAAAGATTTACAGCCTAGGAAACTCTATGGGGCAGTTCTACTCTGTCCTATAGGGTCGCTATGAGTTGGAATTGACTCCATGGCAACAACAACAACCAGCACCCCGTGCACAGCCACCACCTGTCTGTCAGTGGAGGCTTGAGTGTTGCTATGATGCTGAACAGGTTTCAGTGGAGCATCCAGACTAAGATGGCCTAGGAAGAAAGACCAGGTGATCTCCTTCCAAAAATCAGCTAATGAAAACTCTATGGCTCACAACAGTCCAATCCCATTGTGCATGGTGTCGCCATGAGTCAGGGGCAACTCAAAGGCAGCTACCACCACCACCACCACCACACGGTGATAGGAAATGTTGCTGCCAACATACGTAGTGACCCCTTCTCAGCCCTTCCATTCTCTCCTGTAGGACTCAGGATCATCCAAGCTTTGGCTCATCAGAAACTTGCTTGCCCTCTGATTGGGATGACCAGGTAATAAATAGCCTGTGTTATGCAGGGGGCAGGGGGATCAGGTTGGTATTTTGACCCAGAGTGGGAAGTTCCAGGCTGGGAAATCAGAGCTATTAGACTAGTAGCTAAAGTCAGAGGGACAAGGCAAGGGTATGATAAACACATAGTGTCTTTCTACCAATCAATAACAGCTTCTCTATTACATGCAGTGTCTCTGAAGTTATCACCAATTGTAGAAATTGATGGTTTTAGTGATTTGTTTTCCACTTAGCCTCGGTTAATAATTCCTCTTTTCTATCCCCTCCCCTCCTTCATAACATCAGTCTGGAAAATCTGTGTATGGTCCCAGAGGTTAGATCAATGGGCAGTATAAAATATACATGCCCACTGATTTACTATTCCTTCGAAGATTTTGAAGGAACACAAACTAAAACATGGTATAATATTCTTACTCAAGTTTATTGCAAACTCCAGTAAGATTAAAAGGTCCCTCTAGCATAGATCCTAGCATAAAAAGACACACTAAAAGCTTTCAGCCATCTGAGGGGACACACCACCCATATTTGTTTGGAAACCTCTTAAAGGACCCTAAGTTTTTTGGTGTAACTGGCCTCCACACTCTCTATGGAGTTTCCATTAGCCACCCCATCACCATCAATAACAAGTGCATACTTACCTGCTTGGGCATTGCACTCTGAGCTCTTGTAGGAGCAGGCCAATGGCTGGGTTTTTCAGCTGCTCCCTGGAATTCTTTAAGGAACACAGAATGGTTACAAAGTTCACTGGCAGCTTGGAGGAAGACCAGCCCCTTTGACTTCTTTTTTTTTCTTCTTCTTCTGCTTTTCTAGGACAAGACAGAGGCCTCTAATAGAACTGTGATGAGGCCTCCTCTGTACACTGTCCATCCTTCCTACTCTTGCCACCTCTGGTCCTCTGGAGTGTTCACTGAAAACAGAGATGGGGCAACCCACCCACCCCCTGTCTTCCACACCTCAGCCACTTCCAGGCACTCTGCTGCTGGCCAGTCAGAGGCATCAAAACCGTCCGCCAGCTTCTTGCCTCAGTCAAAGCACGAGGACCCTGGGGTTGGGGAGGAGAATGAACAGGGTGGTGTGGGATACCCTAGGAAGACCAACCCAAGTTCTGAGGTTGGGCAAGAGGGAGCGAATGCCCCTCTGGGCCTCCAGCTCAGGACGCCCCAGCTGGGACTCCTGCTTTGCCTTTCAGTCACCCTTGGCGTGGTGTTGGCTGCTGGCCTGCGCTACCTACACACCCAGTATTGCCACAAGCGGACAGAAGCATCCCTCGGTGAGCCTGCTGGTCATGCCATTGCCAGAAGGGACAGTGGTGAGACTGTGAGTGTCAGGAGGACAGGGGACAACAGTATTGTTTTTGATTCCAGCAGAATACAACTGGATCACTCCTTCCGTGGGTAGCAAGACCACAGTCCTCTGAGAAGACCTTGGTAGCAGGCCTCTTGGTGGCCTCTCTAGATCCTGTAGATTGTGTCAGCCAGAACAGAGCTAATGCAAGTCCTGACGAGGACAGTGACTCCCGGTACCTCTCCTCAGTGAGCGGTAGCAGAGGAAGCAGAGAAAGGACAGTTTGATCGACAGAGGGTATTCTTCCCAAGCTTTGTTGTCTTAACATCTGTAATTTAGCTCCTTTTTTTCTTTTCTCAATTAGATGTTCTGTTTGAAGAGTTAAACTCAACACAATGAATATTGTATAACCTGCTGATTAACTAGGCTCCTGTGGCCACTGAGCTTCCTCTATTGCCTTAAGGAACCAGCAGAAATAGAAATTCTGTCCCTCCTCAGCGTGGCAGCCTCGTCTCTTCTAACTGTCTGAAAAACAGTAATGTCGGGGTTGTGTCTCTTGCAAGAAAAAGAACTGCAGCACTCACTTTGCCTCTCCAAACCAGCCAAAACGAAGTTTTCATTTCAAATATAGAGTTCAGAATGAACTAGAGTTATGATTCAGTTGAATGGGTGAATGCAAGTGTATTCAGTTTTCTTGGAAATGCAGGAGCTGGGCAAATCCACCATGGAAATTGATCAGAAGCAAGAAGAACTTTAGAGCGCTTGATGACCACATGATTGGAAAGCATATACATGCAGCACAAGGCCATAATCACCAGGGTGGAGCAAGCAAGCCTCTTCCTCGGGTGTAAATGGCTCTGAGACCTCTCCATCCACTTAAGCTTGATGGAGAGGTTGCGTATCCCAACAGTGAGCAGACATAGTGGCTTTTGCCAAAAAAATGATGATAGCAGCACAGTTTGAAGAATGGCTTCTACTTGTCTTTTCAGGAAATGTCAGGAAAGGAGCATCATGGAAAAAGACCACTGGACAGCTCTTATATCTTTATGACAATCACTTTGATTTAGCAACAGTTCCATAGATAAGATAAAAACCAGTTGCCATCAAGTCAATTCTGGCTCATGGCAACCTCATGTGTGTTAGAGTAGAACTGTGCTCCATAGGGTTTTCAATGGCTGATTTTTCAGAAATAGATGGCCAGGCCTTTCTTCTGAAGCACCTCTGAGTGGACTTAAACTTCCAAGCTTTTGGTTAGCAGCTGAGTGTGTTAACCATTTGTACCACCCAGGGACTTCATAGACAGTGGGATCAATACAATAGGTTTGGATATAATTCCAGAATGTGTTCACCTGGTATATCAAACCCAAACCAGTTGCCGTCAAGTCAATTCTGACTCATATGACCCTATATGACAGAGTAGAACTGTCCCATTGGATTTCCAAGGCTGTAATCTTTATGGAAGCAGACTGCCACATCTTTCTCCTGTGGAGTGGCTGGTGGGTTAAAACTACTGACTTTTGGGTTAGCAGCTGAGTGCTTTACTACTGTGCCAGCGGGTCTCCTTCACCTGGTATTGGAACTAGCCCTCTACTTTTTCAGAGGGAAACCTATTCCAGAGTCATGATTCATTCTAATGTGGAAACAAAAACTACTAAAGAGTCAGAAAGGACATTCATTAACTGAGCACCAAACCCGTATAGGTATTGTGCTAAGAACTTCACATATATTTTCACATTTAGCCTTCACAATGGAGAAGGAATAAGTGAAGAATATGTAGCTCAGGGAAGTTCAGTAACTTGCCTAAGGAGAGAGAGGTATTCAGTGACACTTCAATTCAACAACAAAATACTTTTTTTTTTTTTTTTAAATTGAGTATGTAGGCAAGAGGCAGCTTCTTCTATTTTCTCCAGCTCCCTTTAGCTCCTTGGGCATCACCATCAAGATTGTCTCCTCCTGGATTCTGGGTTAGGCAGACCTGCCCCTGGTTTCCATCAAGAGCCTCATCAGGCACATTGTGGGTTCACAAGTGCAAGTGTTCCAGGAAGGCTGTGGGAAGAAACAGATGCAGAGTGCTCCAGTGGGAGCCACGCATATCCCTCTTACCTACTCAGCCCTCCTACAACATATGCTCCCCATGGTGCAAACAAAAAAAACCCATTAGTGCTCTCCTCTGGCCACATCACATCAGAGCCAGGTGCACCAGGCACAGAGTACCTTCAAGATCTTTCCTGGCCAAAAGGGTACTTTTTTTCCTGTGTAAACAGACTGTATTAGTTATGTATTACTATGTAACAAACTACCCCCAAACTTAGTGGTTTAAAACCACAACCGCCACTGCCATTTATGGTCTATCACGATTCTGGGTTTGCCTGGGCTCAGCTGGACAGTTCTTCCGCTCTATGTGTTGCTGAATGGGCTGGAACATCCAAGATGATTCACTCATATGACTGGCAGTTGGTGTTGGCTGTCAGCTAGGAGTTCAGCTTGGGCTGTTGAATAGTGTAGGAAGCAATTTGGTTCTCCCCTATGTGGCTTCTTACAGCATGATGGCTGGGTTCCAAGAGGGAGCGTTCCAAGCATGAAAACCAGAAGCTAAGGATCTCTTAAGACCTAGCCTCGGATGCTACAAAGTTTCACTTCCTCCACTTTGTATTGGTCACAGCAGGTCACAGGGCCAGACTACATTTTTCAAAGGGAAGGGCAATAGATTCCACTCTTTGATGGGAAGAAATGGCAAAGGATTTGCAGCTATCTTTAATTCACTGCATTTTGGTTAGACTGCTGGTCTGCTCTGGGAGCTTGTGTGTGCTGTTTCATCCCTGGAATATGCCTTGGGTCAGTTCCCTGCAGAGCTTCAAAGGGAGCGGGGGAGAGCTCCTACTTTCAGAGTTAGGAATTTCCTCTTCTCTGGCTGGGCCTTCAAGCAGAATAGTGAAGTGGCACAGAAGAGTCAGTCAGGTCTCTGAGCCTCAGATTTCTCATCAGAGAAAAGCAGATCATAAAATTATTTGCCTCTTTTAATTGTTGTGAAGATCCAATGCATGTACAAACAACACTTGTTATCTATAATTAACTAACAAAGGAGCCCTGGTGGTGCTGCGGTTAAAGTGCTTGGCTGCTAACCAAAAGGTCGGCGTTCGAACCCACCAGCCACTCTGTGAAAGAAAAATATGACAGTCTACTTCCATAAAGATTTACAGCTTTGGAAACGCTATGGGGCAGTTCTACTCTGTCCTATATGGTTGCTCTGAGTCAGAATCAACTCAACAGCAGTGGGTTAGATAACTGACATGCCGTTGTTATTAATGTCAGCCTGCAGCTGCAACAGTCCCCAAATCTAGCCAACTCAGAGAAATTCTGTGACCACCAAAAAAGTTATTCTCTTTCCACAACAACTCAGCCCCCTGCAGCCACCCTCCCCCAGCCCAGCAATTTGAGTCCTCACCCCACGCCAATTATCATGTTAGCCATTGGATACCATTCCTGCCTGCCACCTATCAGATATTTTTGCTGAGACATTCTGAGTAAGCTTCTTTTTGGCAAGGGTAGCAGGAGTCCATAGGCACATAGTCGAGGGACATAAAACCCCTCTATTCTGTGATCCTGATGATCTCCCCAAGCCTGCTTCAGAGAGGCCCTGAGGAGAGTGAGTAGAAAGCGTTAACACAACCTGAAGGAACTTACTAAAGCACAAAGCTATTACAAGTTAAAAAAGGCAGAGGACTGTACGGCAACATCTTAAAATAGCTTTTTTGTTTTGTAGGAACAGCCACAGAATTTTTCAACCAAAGTCTTCTTGGAAGAAGAGAAGGTTCAGGGCTAAACACTCATTTAAGGGAAAATGATGGAAAAACGATTGCTGAAAACTTATGTTTTAAACAAGTGTTTTCACATTTATGATATTAATTTAATAACCACAGATCCTGGGATAAGATGAGGCTTAACCTTTTTCCATTCAGAGACTCTTCCTGATATTTCCAATTAATTTCCCTCCTGGATGCAACGATTTTGGTAAATCACTACTTAATACTTAACCGTTGCCTGGCTGAGCTCCCTCCCACTTGAGGCTGTCCTGATTAATTTGCTGTTACAATGTTTGTTTGTTTTCTTTTTAATTCTAATTAACAACAACAACAAAAATAGGTCAATGAGTCAGTAAATATTTAAACAATACTACATTTTATTTAAAAAGTTGTCTGGAAAAGGCTGGCAATTTATGAATAAGTGTCAGAGAGCCATGCTCCCAGTCTCGGATTTCCGGTATTAATCAGTGATTCCCTTCCCAACCTTTCTGGAATGTAGACTCTGTGGTTCGATTTCATTTCACCCCAACCTATCCCTCTTCTAAAAGTGGTGCAATGCAAGGAATTTCTTATTTGGGTGAAATGAAATTGCATTCATTTGCTTTATTAAATTTGAGAACTTCTCCCTGCTTCTTAAGATATTCAGAAGCACACTCCTCCTTGCCGGCTCCAGGCTATTGCAAAACTATCCGTAGTGATCTCTGGTTAAGAATATCAAGATGGCCTTCAACCAAGAAGTTGGCAGTTCAAATCCACCAGCTGCTCCTTGGAAATGCTATAGGGCAGTTCTACTCTGTCCTGTAGGGTTACTATGAGTTAGAATGGACTTGACCGCAACGGGTTTTTTTTTGTTTTTTGGGTTGTTTTTTTTTTTTTTTTTGATAAAAGTCCCTAGGTGGAGTAAACAGTTTGCCCTTGACTGCTAGCCAAAATGTTAGAAGTTCGAATCCACCCACTGGCACCACAAAAGAATCTGCTTCTGTAAAGATCACTACTGTGAAAACCCTGTGGACCAGCTCTACTCTGTGACACATGGAGCTGCATGAGTCGGAATCGACCGCATGAGTTGCAATTGACTCGACGGCAATGGGTTTTTTTTTTTTTAATGATGAAAGGAGGACCAATGTTTTGTTTATCCAGTTCTTTCACTGCAAAAAGAAAATGTGAGCATTTTGAGACTCATGAGTTGGAATAGACTGGAAGACAACAGTGATGGGTAGATTGGCCAGGAACGCTGAAGCCTGTAAGACAGTGTGTTTCCCTTTTCAAACCATTAATCAGAGTCCCTCGGTGGTGCAAATGGTTTACACC